GTGGATAATAGGAGGAAAGCAAGGATAATGTGTCAACCCACTGGAGCTGGAGTACTCTGGTATCAATTGAAGAAGAGCCCCCCACAGTACATAGTAGCTGGGCCTTTTGGAGAAGCTGCCTGCATGCCGGTTCTGACAGTGGAGAGCCTCTCACTTGGCTGATTACTTACCCAGCTACCTATCCCTCGGTAGGGAAGCAGAGATTCTTAACTTCCCTAGGCAGATCCAGCAACCCAGGTAGCTATGGGGAAGAAAGTTAAAAGGAGGCTTGCACCTTCATCTTAGCATAATGAATAAACAGCCACTCCACTACAAGATTATAAATACATTTTGTGCCCATGATTAGGTCACTAATGAAGACATATAAGCTTTAGTAAATAAAGCCCATTGAGTAAACTTACAGTGAAGTATTGGCTGAGTCCTATTCATTCTGTAATAAATATAACTCAGCCTAAAGTGGAACTAAACCCTCCTGACCTTACAGCCAAGGAAGCTGCCATCTCATCATCTAATGATCTCTACTTGCCATTGTGCTACTCATGTGATCAGTTGTGACACCATCCATTTGACGGTCTAAGAATTTAGTTGAAAGTACAAGCAAATGTGACAGCATTCCTGGCATTGCCTTGAATGTAACTGTTTTGGGAAACAGTTAAATCGATGAGTTTAGTTCCACTTTAGGTGTAACAGGGCACAAATTTAAATGTGTTCTAGTCTAGTTTACCTATTAATAAGTTAATTTTTGAAAGCCTATGTATTGTTTTCTGTTATAACACGTGAAGCAATAGTTCTGAAACATGAGAAAGAAATATTAAGAAAAATATTTTTTAAAAATAGTTATACAATTGAGCTAAAAATGGTTAATACTAGCTGTTTTCTAACATTGTGGATGAAAGATAGCTGATTTAAACTATAATAGTGCTAAGGAGCACACAAGTGATATAGCTAGAGGGATAGGTGAATCTCAAGGTCATTTATTTGTCTCTGCCTGTTAGTGTCTATTATTCATGCTTGCTTAAGTCTTGAAAACCTTGTTTCTATTAGAGATACAGATAATGCAATGCCAGAGCTTTTCTTTCTGCAGATCTGCCTTAAATTCAAACTAATGATAACTCGGCTTGTCCTTCATACACAGCTAACACTCTTTGTCTCAAAGGACTGTGTTAATAGAGCATTTCAGGACATTATTTGCATCACAGAAGGACAGTAATGTGACGTTTGCTTCTTAACACATAAATGTCATTACCAGTTTTTACTCTCTGAATCTTAACCTACCAAGACGTTGCCACAGCATGAAATGCCTTTTCTTTTGATGCATGGAAGATGCTACAAAAGGCTCAATAAAAGGCCAGCACAATACGTTTTATTGGTATGAATACTTTATTTACGTTTTAGCTTAATGCACTAAAATCAACAGACTAAAAATATAGATTACAGGAGAAGGACAAACCAGAGCAATGAATAAGCAAGGTGAAAGCACTGACTGATGAAAAGACAGCAGAAAGCATTGGTGCTTCAAAGACTAGTTGTTTAACATAAACTATTTGACACAGAAGATGACTGTGTGAAAAAACTAAATAAAAAGCGATATTTACAGTCATAAATGTCTTTTTAAGTGCAAAATATATTTTGGAATACAAGGGCAGTTTTAAATAGACTCATTGGATAACTGAAAATGTTATCTTTTTTTCTTAGATCTCAGCATGCTGATTTATCACTGGTACTTTTTCATTGCCAGGACACAGATAGGACAGCTGCTATCCCATTCCCAATTAATTTAATTAAAGTACATTAAAGTACACCTATCACCAATATTAAAATGTGAAATTATTTAAAGGTCAAATGTCATCCAGGAATATCAAATAGGGACTTCTGATGTAATTAATCTATCTTTTTATAATTTGTCTTCAGAGGAAATTAGTTTAATGTTCAATAGGTTAACCGCCGCCCCAATAGCTCACTTAAATTTGTTTGATACTGTGTTAGATGTTAATACATTTTTAATGACATTGACATTGAAAAAAAACATTTTTTGGACACAAGTGAAAGTACATTGGTTAGAGTTATTCAACAGTGCTCTCAAGGAGAGGAAAACTTTGAATACACTGGATCGTTACAGGAGTATATGGTGGCTTTTCATACTGAAACTCTTTTGGGAGAGCAGAAGGTGGTGTGAGCCACCAAACAGTCCGGGAAGCCAAATCCTTTATGGTTATAGATATGCATTTTCATTTTATCAAAATACAGAGGCCTTTTACACATTGTTTTTGGGAAATTATAGACAGGCTTATGGGAATTCCACCAGCATATTTCAAACAGGGTTCCAATAAATCCTAGGGCTCCTCCCGAGGTGGCTAGTGTTTCCTTCCAGCATTCACTTTTGGTGGATTGATTTCCTACCTTATGATACCTACATATTTTCAGCTCCAAAGTCACTAGGCAGAGACAACATGGGACCAGTAGAGCCTTATCTCTCAGATAAGTAACCACTGACACCAAGGATGTCTGCAAGGGAGCTCATCTCCCAATGAGTAGCAAATAAAGAGAAGAGAGAGTGTAAGAAACATGATACAAAGCCATCCACTATACTGCCCCGAACTACATCACTGACCTAATATCCAAGTACCGCCCAGCACGCACACTCCGCTCCTCACAAGACCTCCTTCTCTCTAGTTCCCTGGTCTCCTCCTCCCATGTCCGCTTCCAGGACTTCTCCAGGGTGTCACCCATCCTCTGGAACTCCCTGCCCCAATCCATCAGATTATCACCTACTCTCCTCTCCTTTAGGCGCACCCTGAAAACCCATCTCTTCAGGAAAGCCTACCCCACCCCCTGCTAACTTGCCGACCTCCTCCATTCTTCCTACCACTCCATCCCCCACAGCTATCTCCTCCTGTGCCACCATCCCCTCCCTCCTAGATTGTAAGCTTGAAAGAGCAGGGCCCTCAATCCCCTCATGTTTTGCATTGTATTGTTATTGTTTTGTCACATGTTCTGTCCCCCTTTGTAATGTACAGCGCTAAGTGAACTATTGGCTTTTTATAAATACTGTATAATAATATTAATAAGAAGGGGTTCTTTTCCTAGTGACCACCAAAGTAAGAAGGGTTTCCTCTCCCAATGACCACCAAAGTAACAAGCGTTTCTTCTCCCAGTGACCACCAAAGATGATACTACACTGACCATAAATGTGAAAAACACATTTCTTTACTGACCACCAAGTTAGAGAATGCACTGCAATTTGTTTTCCAGTGATTTTTATTTGTACTAGTTTATATTTATTACTGACAATTATTTTCTCATATAGAGCACAGGAGTGGTGAACAATATCTGGATGTCACATGTGCTAAGTAAGCCACACGTCTCATTCTTGCATTTATTATCGTATCTACCATCTACTGATCACACTAATGGACACTGAGATGTAGACATAGGTAGCAATTATTAGTAAGGGTTGGATCAAATCAAACATGCCCTTAGAACAAATTTTAGAAAAGGAATATGATAGGATAATAGCAGATTATTAAACATGGTTACTTATGATATAATTTAGAAAAAGAGGGTTTTACCCACCTTCCTGACATGTTACTGTGTTTAGTATATTAAAATTATATCTGGCAGTTTTGAATAATGATGAGACGTATTGGAAATAATGAAGAAGTGATTTAAATATTTCATTTGGAGACCTCCAGCACTGCATAATGGTCCAACTCCTATTTTATTAGAGGACACAGAAATACAACAAATACGGGATGTACGAGCAAGCAGATACAGTGACAGGGCAGGGGGAGACCTGCATGGCACCAGAGATCCACTGATCACTGGTGCAATGCTTTAGAGCAGCGGTTCTCAACCTGTGGGTCGCGACCCCTTTTGGGGGTCGAATGACCCTTTCACAGGGGTCGCCTAAGACCATAGGAAAACACATATTTCTGATGGTCTTAGGAACCGAAACACCACTCCTCTATCCATCTCCAGGCGGGTTCGCCCACATGCAGATATGCCCACATACGAGTACCCGGCGTGATGACATCATCGCGCCAACCCCATCACATACACCCCATACAAATACAGGTGTATGTGACAGGGTTGGCGCCATAATGTACTTATTTGGACCAGTCACACATGTGTAAAGAGCAGCTACTGTGTAGAAAGCAGCTGCTGTGTTGAAAGCAGCTACTCTGTTAAAAGCAGCTACTGTGTTGAAAGCAGCAGTATTGGAGGTAAAATGACACTTTATGAATTATAATTACTGGGTAAATGTAAAATCATGTACTGTAAAATCATCAACTACTACAAAAAAAAAAATCTGTACCATGGGAACTTAATCTGGATGCTGATATAAAATGACATATTGTTTTTGTGATCAATCACTATCAGGGGCAGACTGACCATTAGAGCACTCGGGCACTGCCCGAGGGCCCGGGGTCAGTAGGGGACCCCATGAGATGCCCTTGGTACCTTTCATTGGCTTTTTCATAGGCTTTTTTGGGTGTGGGCGAGGACACAGGGGCTCCATGATCCCCTATTGCCCGGGGGCCCCATGAGTTGTCAGTCTGCCCCTGATCACTATGCTTTAATTATGTTCAATTTGTAACAATGAAAATACATCCTGCATATCAGATATTTACATTACGATTCATAATAGTAGCAAAATTGCAGTTATGAAGTAGCAACGAAAATAATTTTATGGTTGGGGGTCACCACAGCATGAGGAACTGTATTAACCACTTCAAGTCCAGACACTTTTACCCCCTTCCTGTCCAGGCTAATTTTCAGCTTTCAGTGCTATCACACTTTGAATGACAATTGCGCGGTCATGCAACACTGCACCCATATGAATTTTTTAGCATTTTTTTGAGACAGATAAAGCTTTATTTTGGTGGTATTTATTCACCACTGGGATTTTTATTTTTTTTGCTATGTAAATGAAAATGTCCAAAAATTTTGAAAAAAAGTTTTTCTTATAAAATTTTGCAAATTAATAATATTTCATCAACTACTGTGTGAGCTGTGATTGGTCACAGCTTGTCACATGGTACAAGGCTGTTGTGAATAGCCTTGTTCCATGTGACCTCTGTGATCATTCATAGATTTCACACGTAGTAAGCAATGATGTCAGAAGTGACATCTTGCTTACTACTCTGCATGTGATCACTGATTGACCAATCAGTGATCAGATCACATGATCGGAACCTAGCACAGAGGTCCCGTACGACGATCGGTGTAAACAGCCACCCAACCCTGCACTGCCACCGTCCGGCCGTTTATATACAGGTGGTTAAAGGGTCGCGGCATTAGAAAGGTTGAGAACCACTGCTTTAGAGGCTCCAGAAACAAAAATAATAAATGCACATTTTTTTTACCTGCAACAAAATGTGCACTTTTTTTTATTTTTTGTTAATAGGTGAACTTAACCTTTAAAGCGGTAGTAAACTTGATCATTTTAAAAAAAACTTTTCCCTTGCAAGGCAATATCATAATGTGCTAGTATGCATTGTATACTAGCACATTATGTGAAACTTGCCTTAAAACGAAGCCCTCCAGCAGCATGCTGTCACCGCTTACAGGCCTTCCATCTTCACTTGGTCCTTCTTCCCGGTTCCTGGCTCTGGGGGCTTGAATGGCCGAGCCGTGATGATGTCAATCCCACGAGTACTGTTTACTGCACACAGCTCTGAAGGAATGACATGGGTATGCTGTCCCTCCAGAGCACATGCGCTGGTGCTGCTACACAAGTAAATATCTCCTAAAGGGTGCATGTCTAGCAGATATTTACAGTACCTACAGGTACTAATATACTTTACTACCACTTAAGAGCTTGTAGATGTAGGATGACATTTCACATCTGTTGTAAGCATATTACAGGGATTCTAAATTAACATCTTATGTGACAGGTTAGGAATGTCAGACAAACAGTATATCAACTGTCCAATTAAAAAATGAGCGTACAATGAAGCGTTATAAACACTCCATGCATATACCATATTTTCCGGCGTATAAGATGACTTTTTACCCCTTGAAAATCTTCTCAAAAGTCGGGGGTCGTCTTATACGCCGGTATACGGCATGCTGACACTTTTTAGGGGGGCGGCGCGGTGCCACCACCCCCCCTTCCAACGGAAGGGACACTAAGTACAGGGGTGGACAGGGGCTGCTGTTTCTTACCTGGCTCTGGTCCCATGACGATCCGGTCCAGGAAGCGCGGCTGCTCCTTCCTCCAGTTCGGGCCACTGGATGTTTGCGCAGCTGCTAGGCTCCGCCTCCTCTCCGGTGATTGGCCGCCAGAACTGTCAGGAAAGGCACACAGGCGGCCAATCACTGGCGAGGAGGCAAAGCCGAGCGGCCCTGCGAAAATCGAGTGAAGGAGCGGCCGGTAAGTGTGCCGTGCAAAGGTGCAGCTGCAACCACATATGCTGGCTGCAGCAGCACCATACTGGAACAGGGGTCAGCAAGTGTCATTGGTGTCAGTGGGAGGAATAGTGCCCCATCATTGGTGTCACTGATACGATGGGGCACTATTCCTCCCCCCCACTGACAACAACGATGGGGCACTATTCCACCCCCCACTGACACCAATGATGGGATACTATTCCTCCCACTGACACCAATGATGGGATACTATTCCTCCCACTGACACCAATGATGGGATACTATTCCTCCCACTGACACCAATGTTGGGACACTATTCCTCCCACTGACAGCAATGATGGGGCACGATTCCTCCCACTGACACCAAAGATGGTGCACTATTCCCCCCACTGATACTAATGATGGGGCACTATTCCTGCCACTGATACCAATGATGGGGCACTATGCCTCCCACTGACACCAATGATGGGGCACGATTCCTCACTCTGACACCAAAGATGGGGCACTATTCCCCCCACTGACACCAATGATGGGGCGCTATTCTTCCCACTAATACCAATGATGGGGCACTATTCCTCCCACTGACACCAATGATGGGGCGCTACTCCTCCCACTGACACCAATGATGGGGCACGATTCGTCGCTCTGACACCAATGATGGGGCACTATTCCTCCCACTGACACCAATGATGGGGCACGATTCTTCCCACTGGTGTGCATTGGAAGAGGGGTAGTCTTATACGGCGAGTATAGCCCAAACACTACATTTTAACAGGAAAAGTAGGGGGTCGTCTTATACGCCCAGTCGTCTTATACGCCGGAAAATACGGTACATCTCTTGAATGCTGCAAAGGCATGTATTCTATTCTACTGGAAGCAGGAAGTGCAAAAATTAACTAAACTTATTAACTAGCTAATTAACTAACTAACTAAATAACTAACTAATTAGTCTCCTTTATACATATTCAGCTATTTTAGATTTCACCTATACTAAAAAAATGCTGGTTGATTACAAAAGCCATTAAAGAACTGGCTTATCGCATAAAAGATGTCTCAATAGGAGGTTTTTGTTAGACCAAGGAAGATGCAAAGCATGGTTTATTTTGATGTGTTGTCTCTTTAGATAATATTATTGTGAAAAATTGCAACTATATCAGAATGAGATGTCTAGCCCAAAAACAAACCACACACATGGCCTCATGGCCCATCCCATTAAAATTTAGAAAAAGAGCAGGAGCAAAGTGCAGGTACACCCACAGCTCATCGCGTTCATGGTTCGTATGCAGAGTTGATATTCACACATGGCATTGTACCAAATACAATGCGATTTTCATCTCTGAGATGTAAAACCTGATTTTTCTGAATGATGACTGCATTGTTCTTTTCTTATTAAAACTATAAAAGAATTTGATAGCAGGGGGCGTGGCTGGGATGTGAAGCAGCACAGACGTGAGTGGCAGAGGCTCCTATAATCCGGCTCTATTCTCCTGTTCCTGGGGAGCTTACCTTCGTTATCCTGTTCAGCAAACTTCCACCTTCACCTGGGGGATTTGCTCCCACCCTCCCCATGCCGCCAAGGAAGTCATCCGGGCAGTGGCGGGTCTCTAGCCATGGCTGCAACAGCGGGGGAAGGAGGTGAGGCACCGTCCGGGGACTCGGCTACCTCTACTATCCTGTCGGCCATAAAGGCAAGTAAAACTTCCGTCATGTCTAAGATAGATTCCTTGGCCCTGGAGTGTGGCCTTATTTGGCAAGACCTGGATAAAATCCAGGGGCGCTTGGGTTTCTGCGGAGTCCTGCGTTTCTGAAGTGGAGGATAGTACATCTAACCATGTTAGAACCGTATCTGAGTTCCAGCACCAGGTGAATCTCCTGATGTCACGCTCGGAGGATGCCGAGAACAGGCTGCGCCGCAATAATGTGCGGGTGGTCAGCCTTCCTGAGGGGGCTGAAGGGGATGACCCCGCAGTGTTCCTTCTTTAAACAAGTCCTGAACCTTCAAAACGTCTCACCGGCCTATCAAGCTGAGCTTGCACACAGAGTCCCCACAGGCCCTAAAAAACCTAGTGCTCCTCCACATTCTTTTTTGCTCCTAAATTTCTGTGGCCGAGACCTAATGCTAGCAGAGGCATGGAGGCAACAAGACGTGCGTTATGAAAACACCATTCTGCATTTCTTTCCATACTTCTCTTCAGAACTATAGAAACGCAAGAGATCCTTTGCGGAGGTGAGAAAGAGGCTCCGTGAAAAAGGCTTCCAATAGGTTTGGTGTGTCATTTTCCTCTATTCTCCCAATGCTGGCATTTAGCCTCTGCCGGACTGGACATATGACTATTACATGCCACTCACTACTGTTTGAGTGCTATGCGCTCCATTTTTTTTCTAGTGTTGGTCTATAAAGTTTCCCTGACTGTGTTTGTCTGTTGTTTGATCAGGGAAACAGGGTTGTTTTTTCTTGGGGCCTTTTTCTCTTATTTTTTTCCCTCCCTCCCCTTTTTTTTCTTTTTGTTTTTCACAAGGTGCTATTTTATTCCTTTTTTGCCTGCCTGTGATGTCCATGATGGGACCTGTGGAACTATTCCCGCACTACTCCATGCTCCTCTGCCCCCCTGTTGCTGTCTACGGGTATGGCATCTACATTAAGAATAGTCTTCTGGAATGTCAGAGTCCTGAACTCTAAGATCAAGAGGTCCTTGGTCCTGAAATACCTAAAGACGTACAATCCACACCTGATGCTCCTGCAAGAGACCTATTTGATGGGCAATGGGATTCTCTCCCTGAGGAGGAACTGGATTCAATGCTCCTTTCATGCTAACTTTTCTACCTATGCTCGGGGGTTTCCATATTGTTGCATAAATGTCTTAAATGCATTGTATATCATGTGTTTTCTGACCCTGCTGGGAGGTATGTCGCTGTTGTCCTGGAAATCAATTCCCTCAAATTAGCCTTGATAGATGTTTATGTACCTCCTCCGTTTAATGGCTCAATCTTATACACAGTTCTAGATAAATTAGCCTCTCTTATGCCCCTGAAAATCCTAAACAAGGGTGACGTGTTGGACTGCTCTCTGGATACCTCCAACCCGTCCAGAGCGCTTAACCTAGATCTTTCAGCTTGGGCTGACTCCACTGGGCTTAGTGAAGTCTGGAGGTGGAAACATCCTGGTACTAACAATTCTCCCACCTGTCGCATGTGTTTGGTACCTCCTCCAGATTGGACATGGCCTCCATGAATGCTTTCCTTTTGCCTTGGGTTACTGAAGCCACATACTACCTTGCGGTGGGAGTGTCAGATCGCACGCCTTTTCAAATTGTTCTGCAGCTGCCTACCACTCCGGGCTCTCGTGCCTGGCATTTGCACCCTGTCTGGGTGGCGGAGTCCTCATTTGAGCCCCTGTTGGCGGCGCATTTGGCCACCTTCTGGCCAGTCAACGTGGACTCCGCTGCTCCTCAGATGGTTTGGGATTCTCTTAAGGCCTCCAGGGAGGGAGAATACATACTATTAAGGCTGCTCATGTGAACCAGAATGCAGATACCACTGTGTTGCATAAGGCAGAATTAGCTTGTGCCCAAGAACATGCACTTCATCTCTCTTCCGACTCCCTCATAGCTCTTCAGCAGGTGAGGGGGACATTATTACTACATTATCGTAATCTGACTCAGTGTTCGGGCGCGCAGGAGTGCTGAACACATTTTTCACATCGGGGATAAAAATGGAAAATTGCTTGCTCTACCGACAGCCGATTCTTTCATGCCTACAGTAATACCGTGTGTTTAAG